TGTGTGGATCTTATCCTGGGCATGTGTGGATCTTGTCCTGTGCATGTGTGGATCTTATCCTGTGTGCGTGTGTATCTTATCTATTGCATGTGTGTATCTTATCCTTTGCGTGTGTGGACCTTGTCCTGTGCACGTGTGGACCTTGTCCTGTGCATGTTTGGATCTTATCCTGTGCATGTGTGGATCACATATGTGAGTTTGTGAATATTGAGACTCTTCTAGCTCCCTGCTTATGGAGTTGAGATCTATTTTTCTTTTTCTAGTGTTCATGCTTGTATCTTTTTCATCTCAATCATTTTCTGTGTTCCTTTTTACAGTTTAACACTTTTTAGAACAATGTTTAGTCATGTAAAACCACCCTCCCCTCCCTAGTAATCAGACTTGCATGCTCTTTATCCTAGCAAACACTCTTCCCAGTGTATTCTCCTGTGCCTTCAGTCATTATTAGATCAATAAACATACTGACATTTTACTTGAGCTGGTTCTGGTTTAACTTCCTGTTAAAACAATGTTTTTCCTCTCCACTGTTGCTTCATGCATGCTCGGAGTAAGGTTTTGCTATGGAGTCATTCACACATTGCAAACAGATGCTCATCCAGGAGGAGCGAATCCTTCAAAGTCATGACTAATTGCAATCTGTTGGTTTACCTTAGATAGAAAACTTTTTACTAATCTGACTGCACAATCTCACTAAATCGTCACTGTAAAGTGCCTTGAGATGAAGTGTTGTTAATTAGCACTATAAAAATAAACCACATTTAATTCAACTGCAGTGGTAATGGTACATTTCATATAAACAGCATTAAAATTTTTACAGCACTAATGCAACTAAAGGTTACAGAATTCATTACCTGCTGCTTGTGCACAGTCTTTAGGACTTAGAACAGCATTAATTTAAGCATCCCAATAAGTAATAATTTCACTTCCTTAAGAGATTACCTGCCAAATCTAAGTTAAAAAAACCAACACGCAGTAACAATTTCTTTATTTGCAATTCTGTTTTGTGTGTCCGTAATCAGACATCAGACACATTTAAGGAACTGAATGTCAAACAATATGTGTAGATCTCCCTTCATAACAGATCTATGGATTACTGAGTTGATTCTGACTAAAATGGCCTCACTGGTTCAGGTATATGTTGGCCTGTTCAGTTTATTAATCAATAACTTCACAAGACCTGAAGTGTGAAGGAATAATTTAAGGACTGCCTTAAGAAGTCATGTTTGCAGTTTGCCACAATTACCAAGGAGACACAAAGAAGATGAGCAGTAAAACTAATACTTAACATCAAACTATCCCCACAATCATGCTGTGAGATTGTGTTTACTCAGCAGCGCCAGGGTTGCTACTCAGAGATGATGGAAAGATAATGGAGGGAATACTGGAAGGAAAGGTTTTAGAGGCTGAAGAAGACTTGGGACTGGGGCAAAGGTTCAGTGTCCAGCAGCTCATCGTACTAAACAAACAGAAGTGTTCCTTAGCTTTTTAAGGTGTGGAAAAAGTTAAGAAACCAACAGAACAAAGCATAGACTATGTACACCACTGTCATTAAACCTCTCTAATAAGAAAGGCTGCCAAAACCCCCTTTATATATATATTTATATATATTTTCAAAATCCTAATATTTGAAGACCAATACAGTTTTATATGATGTGTCCACCCAACAAACAGACAAATATAAAAAAACAAAAACAAAACAAAAAACTACAAATAGGATTTAAAAAAAACAGGTGATTACTTTTACAGGTAAACGTCAATTTATTCTCTTTTCCCTGCACTGTGATCTCCATAGGTCTCTTATTGACATGGGTTCTCAGCCATCAGGCTTACTAGAATAAATCTTGACTGTATGGTCACCACCATCTACAATAATGAGCGAGTTGTTAAGTAACACCAGCCCAGAAGGTCGGATGAGATGGTCCCCCACAAGAGGAGTAATGACCGGACGGTTCTGAAGGTTTCCTAAACTACAAATCAAGCCTTGATCAGAGTCGGACACCACCATGTCTCCATCGCTGCTGAAAGCCACATCAGATATGTTCAACCGGATGGAAGACTGCAGGGTCAGGCTGAAGCTGTCCATCTGGTAAAGAACATTGAAGTCCTTTGTAAACACTTTTAACTTTTTGTGGCCATGCTTTCCTCTTGGATGCTCCATCACAGCCGTGTTTCCGGTTTTTCGACAGTGAGCCAAAGCTTTGGGACACTGAAGGTTAGTTTTAACACTTTGATTCTCCAGGATAACACCATGACTGAAGTCCACATTTATTCTGAACAGGGTCCCAGCCTGCAAGTCTGACACCAAGATACGTCCACAGCTGTCCATGTCCACACCCCAAGGAAGCTGGAAGCAATCTTTGACCGTCAAAACGTGTATCCCCCTTGAAGTGAAAACCTTCACAGCTTTACCCCCTGCATCCGTCACTATGACATAACCAGCTGGACTCACTGCCACATCCACTGGGTAACAGATGTCTCCATTGCCTGCTCCTCTTTCTCCAAAGCTGTGCAGCTTCATCCCTTGTTGGTTGAACACAACCACTCTCTTCTCTCCATCATGCACCACAACTACTTCCCCCATAGATCCCAGAATGGCTAATCCAGTTGGATTGATGAGAGTCCCCCAGCCACCAAATGTGGAGCGAAGATGCAGAGCAGTTTCTGAGATAAAACCCCCTGTAGCCCTGCTGTGGGGAGCAAAGGAGGAGGAACTGTGGGACAAAAGGAGCTCCTGCAGGTCACTGAGAACCTGGCAATGGGATATACTGTCAACACTGCACAGCTGTCGACAGAACGGGCACTCCAGCTTCCTCAGGAGAGGGTGGGACAAACTGGTGATGCATTCCAGACAAAGTACATGACCACAGGAAAGGTTCTGCGGTCTGCGCTCCCTCTGCTGCAAGTTAAACGTCTCAAAGCAGACTTTACACTCCAGTAAGCTGGTCTTGATCTCTTTCAGGGTGTCCTCGGGACTCAGGCAGCCACGAAGACTCTGGTCCATATTGTGTGAAATAAAATGATGTCCTGGCAGTCTATGCTGAGGTAGTTTAACTAACTGCTGCAGGCTGATTGAGCTAACACCATGGAGAAGGACAAGGACAACCAAATAAACTGGAGAAGCTCTGTGTTTATATGTCCTTTAGCTTGGAGGCCTTAGTCACCACGTGATGTTTTTTCTAATCTGACTGAGGTTCTCTGCTGCCCTCTTTTGGAAGTATTCTCAAACATATCAGAAGAGAGCTTGTAAAATAAACGTGCTTTGTTTAAAACATCATGATCTCCAAAATAATTGTAAAGGTAAAAGTCTATGAAAGCATTCCAGCTCTTAAGCTGAACTCTCTAATGGTTTGGATGTTATTAACATTGGTAATTGAAAAAGTAGAAAATCTTTCACATTTTACTCAGAAACTATTTTTGTTGGATTTTTATGAAGTAGAGCAACACAAAGCAGTCCCTAAAGATGAAACAAAATCATAAATGTTTAAAAAAATAAATAAAAATAAAAACAAGAGTGATTTTTTTGTATTAAGTCTCTTTTGCTCTTAATATCTTTAAATGAAATCCAGTGAATTCAATCCTTTTGGGTTTTTTTTGGAAATCATCTAAATAATAAAAAGTTGTCTTTTTTCTAATTTAATGTTAGTATTAATATACATTTCGTCAATGCATCAGGAGCCCAGTCAGATGAGACAAAAATAGATCCGTTGGAGAAAATATTGCAACACATGATCATGACTGAAGCATAGTGGTGGTAGCATGAAGCTGTGGGAATGCTTTTAATCAGGAATGGAGGAGGTGCTTTGAGCAGACAGAATGGAGGGAGCTGAATACAGGCCTGTAGTGACAGTTAATCTGTTAAAGGCCTCAGATTTGGGAGGGGTGGGTGGAGGTTTTTGTTCTACCTCAATTTGACATGCATGCAAAAGTGAAGGAAAAGGTGCAACTTGTAAGGCTGATTTTGTGGCTCAGAAAAAGATTCAAGCAGTAGTAATATCTTTTTTGTTAGGAAAAAACATTTATAAAATGGGATGATTTAAATACAAGTGCCTGAATTTGTTTTTGCACCATTTGTTTTAGAGAAAAACTGAATGCAAGAGATTTTTTTGCGACTCACAAAGCAGTTTATTTAGCTGTATTTTAGAATTTTAAGGCTTATAATCTTTTTTGTGATGTTAAAAGATAGAAAAAAAAAACTTAAATTACTATGTAAATGCACAAATACTTTTGCAACAGCAGTTTTGGATAAATTGGAGCCAAACGGAGAATGTAAGAGGTATTTGATTTGTGACTCACAGAACAGAGTTTGTGTACTTTTACTCAACAAATTGAATATGTGTAAATTTTCTTTTGTAACTGTAAATTACAATAAAAATCTATAATTGCAAAAGGTCCATTTTATTTTCTCTACAACTTCAAGTTCGGTCACAATGCATTAGAGGAAACCCAAATCTTTATGATTCAAAATGACTTTCATAGTGGAGGGTCACTTACCAGCAATGACAACCCTGAGCATAAACAGATACAACAGAATAGCTTAGAACAGGACCAAAAATAGGGACCAAAATTGCTGAAAATATGTGTGAACATGCAATTTAGCAAAACCTGTAGTGACAGATCCTAAACAACATGAAGGTGGAATTATAAAAAGGTGCCTTCTTTTAAAAAAAAACGTCTCAGGGAAGATGCATCCCATACATTTAATTTATTCACGCATTTGTTTTCAGTTATCTAAAATAAATACGTTTTTCAAATTTTGAAATGTGGTTCCTACTGTAAATTTGAAAGTCAATGCATAGGAAAAATATCCCAAGGCGCTGTAAGTGTTGGTATGGGTGTACATTTGGAAGCTATTTCTGTACGACTTTCATGATGTGCAGCCTGAGTGAAATCTGACCCTAGAGGTGCAGTGCTGAAGTCAGCCACTCAGGGAGAAAATTAAATCCTTCAGAACTGGAACAAGATTTTTCAAGAGCCACTAAGGTTACCATAATAGAAACATGTAAAATCTCTAACACACTCCTAATACTAAAATCTAAGGATTAGGGTTGTTCAAGAGAATACTCAGATTCCAGAGGAAATGTAAAACATTTTAATATGTTGGCTTTTTCTCACAGTGAAACAAACAGCACAGGTCATCTTGAACAGTATTGTTTTTGGCTGAATGAAATGTAAATCCAGAGACATTGTACCTTTTACAAAGCCTAATGTTGCCTGGGAGACCGCTTCATCAGGCCAGCATTTGGATTGTCGAGGATACGAGAAATATGTCAGCGCTGAGATGATACTAAACAAAAATGAATAAAAATCTCCAACGAAGCACACCAGGTGACAGTATTCAACAGGAGAGAGCATGGATTTAGTTTTTAATACAGACTGAGAAGCGTAAGAAATCAGAAATAATTCCATGCAAACAGGCACAAGGCATGAATCAAAATCTACAATGACAATAAAAAGACAATACTTGTGTTCAGGGTTTAGATCACATAGACACTCTTTTCCTACAGTTGTAACATTTTCCCATCAAAACACTTGATGTGACAGTCATGCATAAGAAATCAAAGGAACAAAAAGGTCAACAGTAAAAGAAAACCACCTGCACACCGACATGCAAGTCTGAGTAATTGCCCTCCTTTATCGGTCCATTAAAACGTAGAAAAATTAAAAGTAATATAGCAGCCACAGGCGGAGAGGGGAAGTAAAGTCACTCTAGATCACAACAGTTCATATAATACTTGAACATAACCAAATGTACAGTATTCTCAAGGAAAAAAGCTCCTGCAAAGTGCTTCAACTGTGTGCTTCATTACAAATTCAACAAACCTCGGTTGAACAAGCTAACAAGCTAAAGCTGTCTGGCATTGAAATTTTGCCCACATTCAAGTTTCTTAAAAAAAAAAAAAACTGAACAAAACGCATATTTTCTGTAAAAAGATCATCACAGAAGGATGCATGTATAAAAATAAGGACCTAAAAACATACAGGCTCAAAATAAAGTGATCATACCTTTAAAATGGCATTTTAACATTGAAATGTTTAGAACCAACTAACTGGCATTCAGTCAAAAACACATCAGCCTTCAGTGATATTGTGGCAGAGGATACAGGTCATTTAAAAGCTACAATGAGCATGCAGTCACAGCTATAGTATTTTTTTTTTAAGTCTTTCATACACCCACGAACTCTCACTCTCATTCACACACAAAAACTGGGATTAGTGGTTTAGGAGCTTTTTCAGCACATACTGCAGCGTGCATCTCTGTAGTCTGAGCTGCTACGCTTTCTTTATAATTATATAAATCTGTTTATATGCTCTTCTTCTTCTGCTGTCTGCACTCTCAAGAAAGTGACGGCGGTGGTGGGGTGGTTGGGATATCGTATTACACCACGAAGCATTTCATCTTTACCTTCTGGTCACACTTGGCTTTGCAGATTGACTTCTGATGTCTGTGCTTCTTACTGCCTGTCGACGCCATTTAAGGGTTTGTTTTTCCCTCTTCGTCGGAGCGTAGGGCTCTCGCCGTTTGCATCCGTGTCATCTGAAATATAAAGGAATTTGGACCAAAACATAATATTTTAATATTATTAATATAAAGTGGGTCTTATTATCTATATATTATCTTTTATAGGGTTTAAAAAGTCATCCACAACTAGCTTTTGACTTTCAAGGTATAGGACAACTCCCCTGTTGCTTTGGCACCTGGAGTAAAGCCGATCAACACTTTAAAAAAAGAAATCCCACAGGTATATCAAATACAAGCTGGAGTATTCCAACACAGTGGCTTTTAATGTGGGGAGACAGGGAGAAGGCCTCAGAATATAATTATATTTTAAAATATAAATTGTAATAATATATCACATCGACAAACCCTTGGGGTTTAAACCTGAGCTTTGAGGCTCTTTCTGCATTTAATGAATAAAAAAAAATTGTTTGTGATTACACCCAGACCCAATTCAGCCAGAATTTTTATTTTTCTAGAGTCCCAAAAAAGTACCGAAAATTACCCTTTTCTAATATTCCAATCAGCAAATTATAATGTATTTCAAAAGTAAAGGTATGGTTTAACCAATAAAAGATGTGAGTTAAATAAGAATAACGCAAAAAAAAAAAAAAAATGCTTTAATTTATTTAGTATTTTTGTCCATTAGAAAATGGAACTAAAGTGGAAAAATTTCTATAAAATAAATGTTTTTTCCCCCATATTCAATTATTTCTTTCCCATATTTATTTAGACCCGGACATTGAGATGAGCAGGATAACGTTAAACAACTGCAAGGGAACTCTAGATAAAACACTTGCCCAGACACTAGAGGTCAGTGCTTTGCAAAGAATCAAATGTGGTTAGACTCTGTACCTTTAAATTCCCCCGGCATGTGGTCAGGAGACTCTGTGTAATTACTATCCTCACACTCTGAGAGGCTCTGAGGGGAGAGCAGAGCAGAGACACATGACACACACATTCCTATGACAGAGCAAACATTATATGTAGCAGCCTGTAGCTGACCCTGTTCCATAAACAATAAGATAAACAATATATTTTTTTAAGGGCAAATGTGATATTTTAAAAGGTAGCATCTAAAAAACCCTCTTACATAAAATAGCTTTAGTTTAAAAGGCTTACTTCTCTAAAATTACAACCATTTGTGGATAATGGTTCAGCAGAGCACTACAGCTTTATATTGACACCAGAAAAAGATACTGTGTAGAAATTATGACATTCGTATGTCTTAGAAAATAAGTTAACAGGTCTCAGGAAAAAGTAGAAAATTATCAGGTCTCGAGAAATAAATTGTAAGGTCTAAGGGGAAAAAAAGTTATCATGTCGCAGGAAAATAAGTTGGCAGATCTCTGGAAATAAGTTGTCAGGGCTGAAAAAAAAAAACAACCCAAAAATCTATTTGGTCTCAAAAAAACCCCATCAGGTCTCAGGAAATAGGTTGTCACATCTGAGGAAAAAGGTAATTGGGTCTCAGGAAAATAATCAGGATAAAGGTTATCATGATTCAGCAAATCAGGATCTCAGGCTAAAAGTTATCATGATTCAGCAAAAAAAAAGTTAGGAATAACCTAACAACTTTTTTCTGAGAACTCGCTTTTTATTCAACCTGGTTTCTTTTTCTTCAACCTCCAAACTTAGTTGAGATATTTAATAGGTGAAGAGGATGGATTTTCTCTCTCACACTAAAACAGTTGTTTTGTTTGATCATTTTTTTAGAAAAGGAAACAATTTGAACATTGGCTTCAAAGGAAGTAACAAACCTGGTTGGAGCAAGTATATTTTGATACTAGTTTTTTTGCCGATACTGGGCTGATTTCTGATATCAATTTTGGATGGAGGCATCCAACTGGTAATACTTACTGAGAAAAATGCCACTAGTCCACCTCTTTGTGTATCTAGAGTATTAATGACAGAAATGCCTTTTTTTTAAACAAGAATTTTAGTTTTTTGGTTAAAAGCAGGACCATGGACACGTAATAAATCCCATAACCACTTTTAAATCCTTGGATATAAAGTCTCCTACTCCTGACAAATCGTCAAAGAAAATCTTCGGGTTATTAAGTAAAGGCTTTGCGATGCCTTCTTTTGTTTGGTGTGACCATTTGTTATACATTGATGACCCAGTTAGTTGTCTATTACCTAGTGCCATAATCCTTCTTCAGTTTTACAGCTAAGTGTTTGATTTTTTTCATTTTATGCCCTCTTTTCTGTGAAACATTTCTCAGGCTGTCTTGAACTAGGAGCGGCATAGGTATTTTATTATGTTAAGACTGACATGACCTCACCTACGTTACATGTGTTATTATTCAAATTAATTTAAAAAAGAGATGGAGACTATATGTAAATGCTTTATGTAAAAATATAGATTTAGGTTGGTCTGAATGACTGCTTATCTTAAACAGGAGCATACGTTATAGCAGAAACTTAAAAGAGAACACAGCTCTTGGTTTCATCTCACTGTGCCACACAACCTGCCTCTTAGTACATGAATAGAAAAACATTCTTGAAAACCGAAACAATAAACACACCTTTCCCCTTGGACCATATGTTTCTGCACACCACACCATCCCATACAGACAGAGGAATGTAATAAAGGCCTGGAACAGATGAAAACAGGCTGTCAATTGAATAGAACAGAGATCATCAACAATATTTATAATGGAAGTTATGATTTGAAAGAAAAGCTTTTGTCTTTCAAAGCAGTAGTTGAATGGAGGCACACTGATCTTACCAAACATAACAGCCAAAGGACCACATAGAGGATCTGAGTTTTTGAGAACAGGTCCTGTCCAAATTTAATACACACCAAGGCCTCCAGAAAGGCTATTGCCCTGAAAACAAGAGAGGAAAGGGAACAGAAATGAAACCTTTGGCCAACATGGAGTTTATTTATAGGAGCCACAAGGTCTAAGGTAAGCCTGTTTGTAAAACTTTTACAAACTCCTGTTTGTCAGATTTTTCTGAGGTTAAATATCACTTCCCAGGAGCATACATGAGTAATATCAGCAGTTTCTTAGTATGTTCTAGTTTGCATTTGATTAAAGTAACTTTTAAAGATTAGTTTATTTTCATACTGATGCCTAAATACCTCAATCAAGTTGGTCTTTACTCACCCAAAGACCCAGCACTGCGTTCCCACTCTCTTACACTGTGTGTCTGTGAGGTATGCGTAATACTGCCTGAAGCAAAAATAACACAAATACATAGGTATATTTTACTGACAAAACATCCTTTTTTCACCCCTCAGCTCAAAGAAGAAAATGTCCCTGACAACTTACCTTACAGTCGGAGCTGTGATGATACCGACAAACAGGATTCGGCACCAGCTGAGAGCGTGGCTCGCAGGAAAGACAAAAATGTGTTTCAGGAAGAACGTGTTTAGTTCTGTTAGCTGCGAGGAAAACACAAACAAAATAAAGAAATTAAAGCTTATTAAATAAACAACGGCCATCAGAACAGCCAAAGAAATGGTGGTTAAATCCTGTGAATGTTTTAGAGCCGACAAAGTCTGAGTCTGAGATCTCAGAACATCTAAAAACAAATTCAGATGTACAGAATGTAGGAGACTGAATAAGACTTCTCCCCTAAAGGGGTCGGGTTGGATTACTGGAAGTAGGGGCTGTTCTACTGGATACCAAATTTGTCTATGATTAAAAGACATTTCTATTGTAACAAAACCTTTGATATTTTTATAAAGAGGTAACATCCATTTTTGACATCTGAGTCAGCTTAAAAAAAAAAAAGCAACAACGAAAAATTACAATAGTCATCAAACTACTCGTTTTCTGAAAATTTAATGGAATAGAAAATCAGACTGCGGGATCATCTTCCTGTACTCAGATTATTGTGACATAAAACCCAACAGCGATGCTTTTATCATCCAGACGCAAAGCCGAACGTTTGATTCAAGAAGTTTATTTTTTAAACATTAATTTATAGGAGCACCACTGGAAACCTAAAGACTTAAAAATGCTTTTTAATCTCTAGGAGTCTGGCAATTATATGCATCACCTTCCAAAAAAAATTACCCCTATAGTGAAGTTGTGTTATTAGGAGACTTGTTGAACTTAAGATGCCCCTTCGGAGATTTTTTTTTTTCTCCACCTCCCTTACTATTATACCCAGTTTGAATGGGTTTTCAAACTGGGTATAATAGTGAGTAGTAAACAACCAAAACACCAACCCAGTCTTGTCTAGGTGTGAGCCACATTTGTAGGTGTACAAAGGATTTATACAGTCATGGTGTCAAAACCTTAAAAACTTCTGCGGTACTACTGCTATATTTAAAGATTAGAGGAGGTTTCTTCTGAAAGGAGCTTTTGCAAGATGTGCAGATGGTATTGAAATGCTGCCCCTCCCCTATCTGTTGCTGCCCACTGCTCGAGAGCTAGATGGATTATCATTATTATGATGCACAAAATAAACAAACTGATTTTTTCAGTGGTCAAAAACCTTAATGAAACATTTAAATCTAAAAAAAACCAATGAAGGTTTCCTGAATGGGACTGTTATACTCCATGAATTAATATGTTTTAATGTGGAAGGAGTACAAATAATTTTTACTTCTGTTGTGTAACAATTATGTTATGGTCAAATGGTTAAGAGGAATAAATTCATGGATTAAGAAAAGGTGAGCCAATGATTTTACTTAAATCTTTTTTCCCCCCACTTTCTGTACATGTTTATTTCCCTATTGAATAGATTTAATAAGATTACACATTATCATTACGGAAGGATCTGAATTTTTGGGAAGACTGAATTAAATAGAGCCCGTTACATCTGAATAAAGCAGAAGTGTGGGTATTGCTGAACAAAATGTACTGTAGTCAGTTTCCTTCTCCATCAAACAGAAATGTGAGCCTGTTCTCACATGAAAAACGCTGACATCAGTGCAGAACGCCCACGGCTGTGAAAAATGGCATATGATAGGGATTTTGTTGTAAGGGATACGTCATTTAAAAAAGCTACATAGATAAGGAAGGTGTCCTCTGCCCCTGAAACTTTTTGTGAGATTAGATTTGATCCACAGTTGTTTAACGGCAAATTCAGAAAAAGATAAAACACATCTAGTGAAAAGGATAAGAAAAAAACTGATAATTAACATCCGGAGATAAAAATAGAAAAGCCAGGTCCACATGGTTTTAAGTGGGTTTCTTCTCAGTCTGAATGCTTTAGTAGCAATCAGCATGTAAAGATTCAGCTGGGCGAGTTATGGAGAGGAAGTTGCTGTTTTGCAAACTGAAAAGAATTTGTAAAAAAGGAAAAAAAAAATCACCTTTGTTATCCTCATAATATTGGGTACTTAAACATTTAGCAGCTATAGCTGCATACTCATGAACTCCATCCATTGTTTTCTCAACACCACGCCTTAAAGGATTAGCAGTCATTGTGCAGACAGCAGGACACCTGTGTATAATATGGATCCACGCGGCTTAGGATTTTGACAACAGGGAAGGCAATTAGATCAGCAGGGACTTAGCATGCAGAATACGCTGGATGATCCCTGAATCATCAGCACCCAAGTCACCGCTGAGATGCCCAAACAGGATTTGCCCAGTGACCTACCTGCCAGATAATCATGAACAGGTAGACGCCCATCACTCGCTGCAGGGAGGACTTTGGATCAAGCCAGCGCACATAGGTCCAGCTTGCAGGAGTGAACTGCAGCACGGCTCGCTTGATCTTCCCTGTGGTGGTGTGGATGTCCCTGATTAAAGGAGGATAGAAGTGGGTTAATAAAGACTTACTTAAAGATTTCTAATAAAAATTATTCTAATGCCTTTAACAAAGTCAAACAGAATAAAAATTAGCCAGTAATAATTTAAATTCATTCCTTAATAACTTTCTGGGGTTATGTTTTAAAAAGACTTCCGTTCAGTTTTGGTTTATTTATTTTTTCCACAAGGACAAATCTGGGGATTAGATTACATCCAAGTGTTATGAAACAGCAGAAAGATACTACAGATACAACATTAATAACAATAAACAGAATTTCTCTTGATAAGGAAATCTGTTTCTGAATTTAATCATGTATTTTATACTTAAAAAAATAGATACCAATACATCAGATTGTTGTATTCGTATTTAAAGTTTTACATATAAGAATTGAAATCAAGATAATTTATTCAAATAGAAGATGAGTTTATGCAAATAGACTGACCCGAATGCCCATTTCTGTCTAATTAAATGTAATTCTAATGTCAAGCTTTCTATGTAAAGGCAATGTTTCTTTAAATATGTCTGCAACAAGATTGCTTTCCATATCTCAATCACTAGTATCTAATTTTATAAAAGGAAAAATACTGCAAAAAGCTTCAAGAAGAAAGGCTTTTCCTTATGTTTTTTTCCTCCATTTCATTCTTTAAAAATAACAATAAAAAGTAACTTTTTAAAATCCTTTTTAATTTTTTTTCCTCTGCCGCTGACAAAGTTAATGGCTACTCTGACTGTTCTTCTATGATGGTTTATTGGAGAAATTAAGATTCAGCAATAATTAATACTCTGGAGCTCAACACTGATTGGTGCATCCCTCTCCAACACACCATTAAGTAAATTTCAGGGTGTAAACTCCTACTTAATACTGGCCCAGTGGTACGTCCTCATCTCTAAGAAGCGGCAGACGGTCATTCCCAGCCAGATTCCTCCTCCATTACACAGCAGGATGTCCAGAATCACTTGGTCCCACCAGCACTCCGCAAAGTTTGGCAACAGATGCATAAAGAAAAGCTGTTAAAGACAGAAGAGATAAACATAACTAATAAATAGACAAAAATCAGTCTAAAATCGGCATTTAACATCTGATGGATAACTGATGACGGGCTAAAATCTGACTGTTGTTCTGTTATATAAACACATTACATCACAAGCTTTGGGGACTTAGGCAGGCAGCCAGGAGGCTCAGAGCTGTTGGGTTTTTATTGTTTTTGGGTGTTTGTCTACCTCAGTTAGCTCCCAGGTAATACTAATGGTCCAGCACAGGCCATAGCTTCGAATGAGGAGGGCCTTCATTCCCCAGCCCCAGAAATGGCTGAAAGCAAAAATGTCAAAATGGCTGAGGATTCTCTCCCAGGTGATGACGTGGCAGTTCACTGCATACTCCTGCAGGCAGGAGCACAGAGAGCCAGGTTAGCCATAATGAGGGCACAGCAGGTAATTACACAGAAACATCTTTTTCACCACAGTCCATCGTCACAAACCATGATGTCTGCCTCTCTCTTGGCATAGCGCAGGTTTGGATCCAGCCAGTACATGAGCTGCTTCACCTGCTGCCAGTTGAGGAAGATGATTAAAACCAGGAACAGAAAGTAGAGCACACTCAGACCTTAAAAGCAAAAGAACACAACGTTAAGCATGGAAAGTGTCCAAAAATAGACATAGAGGTACATTTGTGCTCAAATACAAACACTCACCAAACACTATTCGCCATATTGCTGGATGTGGCCTGGTGAAGGGACCTAAAACCAGATTTATTGAGAAAAAACATAATGATGAAGACAAATATCCGATTAAGCCTAAAAGTACTGCTCTGACAGTGGAGACATTTATGGGTTTTAAAGCAAGTCATGTCCTAACAATAGACACTGGAAATAACACCCCACTGGACTGAGGCTGTTCACACCTGTTCAAATTTAGCCTAGCGCTCGCTGTTCCTCTCACATAGAGCCATGTTTATTCTCCTTTTAAGCTTTTTATTACTACTGCTATAGAAAAAAAGCAGTTATGAAACTGAATGACTCAGAACCAAACATATGTGGATGCACTGTAAGGACTCAAATGTTACTACATTAACTGTATACATACCTAATTTGTCTGCAACATCAACACTATTCAAATGCCTTGTAAGTGTTGCTATGCTCAAGCATAGAGATGCAGACTAATTCAGTCCAAACAACTACTTTTATCTTCTCTTTTTAAGTTTTAAAGATTGTGTAATAACACTATGGCTGAGGATACGCATGGTGGGGCGATACGATATGTGGGTCACAATACAATATTTTCACGATATTGCAATATCTCCATGTATTGCGATGTTTCACCCCCCTATCAAAATTAAATGTATAGATTAAAAAGCAAGTGCTATATATGTTCATCAGAAGATATCGATCATTTAGTTATTTTGGTATCCATGTTGAGTCAGTCCACATCTTCCACTGTGACTGTCTTATCTACAGATATAGCGCTGCGCTGCACAGCAAAAGCGCTCCACAGCACTATATGCCAGGGCGGCGGTGCAGAGGTAGCCTGTTTTCCCTCATAGTTTTAGGTAAAAATGGTAAAATTGATAATAGAAACTGAAAGATCAATATCATATCGGGCAGTCAAAAAAATCACAATATATCGCCAGAACCATTTTTTTTCCAAAGCTCAAAATAATAAATGGACTTACACCAAAAAGTGGGATTTTACACAGCATCCTCTAAGCATCATAACAACTTAGTGATTTGAACACATTTTTTCCCCGCCTTTAATGTCTGCAGGCCTAATCTGAACATTTCTAACCAGCAGCATAACCCAAGTCTTTAGAGCTTTTGTTGTTGTATCACTAGATCTACTTAGCTGCTGGTAATTCAGAGAAACCAGGCAAGTCAGATCTATGCAGATCAATCTTTGAATTTTTGGACCGAGATAAAAGACACGATTTTCAGAACATACTTTTAAATTCTTTCATAATTTACTAAATAAAAAAAAATAGCATTTTAATTTCTACCTCACAGCTGAAGTGTATGAAAAACCCAGCAAACCATCACTTTCAATCCAGGATAGGAACCAAAGAGTAACCCCCCATGCATTCATTTAGATTAGAAAGAACCTTCTTATGTGCAATAAAACAAGGTTTTATTGTTTGATGGGTGTTCTTTAATAACATAACAAAGGTGTACTGCGACTAATGCTGGGCCATGTGGCCTTAAACTCTTATCATGGAATTTTTCTGGTACTATCATGATAACGATAGTACTGAGGAAAAAAACACTCTTCAATAATTCCTTGAAGTCATTCTTAGGTAACTGTAGGGCTGTAAAGGCATGCCACCGCAATCAGAGCCCCACAAGCACCAACACGACTCTTGAAAAAGTATACAGATTTTAAATAGGCTTCCTCAGGACACCAGTTACTTTAAGAAATGTGATTTATACCACAAAATACCCTGTAGGAAGTGCATTTAATCGTATTCTTCAAATGTGCTAATGCCCTAATGAAAAAAAAAATTAAACAAGTATTTAAAAAAAAGGTAAAAAAAACAATTTAACCCATTTTTTTTTATATCATCAGTAATTGTAATTGATTTCTTTAGACGGTAAATCTAAATTATTAGCATTACTAGAAATTTATCACAATGCAGATAAACAATTTGAT